AAGAGATGTCTAGTCATTTTTTCCTTTACCTTCGTCCCTGTTTTTCCTCCTGAATTTACTGCAAAGACAGAGCAAAAGCAAAGCTACAAAAATGGTGGACCCATACAATTATGAATCCAACGGGAAAAATATTCAAAACGTCTCTCTAACGGCAGACCAAACGACAGTTCATCATCAATAATAATGTCTCCGTCTGAGCTGTTAACTTCAACGGCTCAATTTTCCTCCTCTGCCAGCTGTAACCTTTTTTTTCCACTATAAATAAACTCCTCTTCTTCACTTCTTCATCCATCACTCACCTCACTCTTTCTTCTCTCTACTAAATTCAATTTCACAATCACAAAATCATTGAAATGGCGCAATTTAGCAGCATCGTTAAGGCTTTTGTGCTCGTTGTGGTTCTAGCTGCCGTTGCAAGTTCAGCACAGGAGGTCAGTTTAGCTCCAGCTCCGTCTCCAGATGCCGGAGCTGGATGCTCGGTGCCGGTTTCTGGTGTGTTGATCGGAACCTCTCTGCTTTTCTCGTTGTTCGCTTCATTGAGAAATTGAAACCCCAGGCTATGGATTTTTTTATTTTTTTTTTCAATTTTATGTTTGTTGTGATTGGATTTGGGGGTTTATTGTAATCGAAATGCTATTATTCGATTGATTCTTTTGTGTTTGTATATTGAGTGTTATTCATTGATATCTCAACTTTCTTTGTAATATTCGTTGAAAATTTGCAAATGAATGTGATTTTTATTAATTGCATCTCTTCATCATATTCCATACAACAATTCTCACTCAAGCTTGTGTATCGACTTGTCGCAATTACATATTTTGTGTGATATATGAGCTATTGATGTTAGCGAAACATTTACCAAAGAGTTAGGGGAGCGGTATGTATAGTTTTACAATATTTTGGTGATATGACTTTCGGACGATTTCGTTGCAAAACCTTTACGGGAATCCTCCATAGGGAATTGGTGGGGATAATACTTACACTCTCACAAATTTTTAGAGTCCATTTTGGACATTTAGGGGGTCAATTTACATTAATCTAGATTTTTTCAATTTTTCGTGTGTGTAAACTCATGAATATTCTTTGCGAAACCTTTACGAAACCCTCCGTAGGGGTAGGGATGGTACAGTCTCACAATATTTAGTGCCTATTTTAGATTTTAGAGATCAATTTACAAGAATTAGATGATTTTAACATATTTATGACGATTTATTTATGAACTCAAATTTATTCAATTTGCTCAAATGCAATTCAAATCCGTGCATTAGACACCTCCAATAGTGTCATGACCCAATATACAGTAGTGTTTTTGGCCTTTTTGTATTTTAGATTGAACAAAGATTCTATAAAGATTTTTGTTAGTATTATTTACTAATATTCTATGTTATTATACATTTGTCTATATTTGTAAATGGACCATAAAAAAGATCACTCTTCATAAACAACATGGCACACATGTGTTGTCCAAATTCAATGTTCAAAGATATTTCATCAACCATAATATAGATAGGCCAACCACCACCATGTTCTAGCATGTTACTATCCATCAACAACTCCTAATTTTTTTTCTCTCTTTTTGTCTAAATTTTTTTCTTAGTTTGAAGTATATTTGAGTGTGTATGCCTATATATATATATAATATATGTGAATCATGTTTGGAAAGCCATAAAATTTAATATATTTGTCTGACAAAATAATTTGAGTGTAATTGAGGGGAGTAATTAGTATGTTCTTCAATTATTAGGGGAAGGTAAAAATTGCTAGTAAATAAAGGGTGTGTAATTTCTGGATTATTTTATTAGTTTCTTTTCTTTTAAAAAAATATTTCTTTTAATTTCTATTATTCTATATTTTTATTTTCTCCTTTTAAGTAGTTTTTATTCTTGAAATATAATTTTATTCTTACATTATTTATCTTCACTTTTTTCTTCTCATTTTTCAAAATTTTCTTCTTGTAATTCCATGTAACTACTCTTATTTTTTAATTTATTTATTTTCTCCATTTAGTATTACTACTTTACTATTTTAGTTTTAAATCTACACCTCTTAATATTAAAAAAAAACGAAGGAAAAATTACGCGGAAAAGCAAACATATATTAGTTAATTAGCTAACATAGTTATATTTTAAATTAATTACGGCTCGCAGCTTAATTTTAGCTGTAATTACATCGTCTGTCTTCTTTTATACATATACAAATATAAATTACACAATTATATGGAAGATATACAAATACAATTAGCCAGTCTCCACTCTCTGCCCTTTCTCGCTCGCCACTCTCCTCTTTCTCCCAATCTCGCTCACCTCTCTCTTCCCTCTCCCAATCTCGCTTGCCAGATATACAAATATATGTATATATATATATATATATATATATATATATATATATATATATATATATATATATATATATATATATATATATATATATATATATATATATATATATATATATATATATATATATATATATATATATATATATATATATATATATATATATATATATATATATATATATATATATATATATATATATATATATATATATATATATATATATATATATATATATATATATATATATATATATATATATATATATATATATATATATATATATATATATATATATATATATATATATATATATATATATATATATATATATATATATATATATATATATATATATATATATATATATATATATATATATATATATATATATATATATATATATATATATATATATATATATATATATATATATATATATATATATATATATATATATATATATATATATATATATATATATATATATATATATATATATATATATATATATATATATATATATATATATATATATATATATATATATATATATATATATATATATATATATATATATATATATATATATATATATATATATATATATATATATATATATATATATATATATATATATATATATATATATATATATATATATATATATATATATATATATATATATATATATATATATATATATATATATATATATATATATATATATATATATATATATATATATATATATATATATATATATATATATATATATATATATATATATATATATATATATATATATATATATATATATATATATATATATATATATATATATATATATATATATATATATATATATATATA